CAAGAGCATATGGACTCACTGTTGAACTCTACATTTAAAGATGAACTAACATCAATGTATCTCAAATCACCTCATAAAATAGAAAGGGAAACAATACTACCAAAAACATTTTATAAGACGACCATTATCCTGATATCAAAACTGAGTAAAGACACAAAACAGACAAGTACAGGCCAATTTCTTTGATGAACATGGATATGAACATTTTCAATGCAATACTTGCAAGCAAAAGTAAACAACACATTAAAATGCCATATACCATAACCAGATCAGCATCATTCCAGGGATAATACAAGGATGGCTCAACATATTTGATCAATAAATGTGATATGGCACATAGATGCAAGGACAGAAATCACAGGGTCACCTCAATGTATGCAGAGTTAAACCTTGAAGAAACTAGGAATGGAAGGGATGTATTTCAACATAATAAATGCTCTATATAAGAAAATTCTATGCAGCATTATACTAAATGGGGGAAACAGCATTTCCTCTAAAATTCAAAAACAAAATAAAACAGCTAAATACCTAGGAATATATGTAAGGAGGTAAAGACATCTACAATCTACAATCTACATCTACAATAAAGTTTAAAACACTAAATAAGGGGGCTGGAAAGATGGCTCAGAGGTTAAGAGCACTGGCTACTCTTCCAAAGGTTCTGAGTTCAATTCCCAGAAACCACATGGTGGCTCACAACCATCTATAATGAGATCTGGTGCCCTCTTCTGGCCTGCAGGCCCACATGCAGGCAGAACATTGTATACATAATAAATAAATAAATCTTTAAAAAAAAAAACACTAAATAAGGCTGGGCATGATGACTTTCCTCTGTAACCCAACACTCATCTGAAGAATGAGGATTGCTGCAACTTTGGTGCCAGTCTGGTTTACATAGTAAGACCTTGTCTCAAAAACCAAAACTAACCAAACAACAACAATAATGAAAGAAAGAAAGGAAGAAAGAAAGAAAGAAAGAAAGAAAGAAGGAGGGAGGGAGGGAGGGAAGGAAGGAAGGAAGGAAGGAAGGAAGGAAGGAAGGAAGGAAGGCACTAGAGATACAGAAAGGCCTCCTATGCTCATGAATAGGCAAAATCAATACTGCAAATATGGCTGTGGTCCTGAAACAAATCTAGAAATTCAGTACGATTCCCAATGATATTCTTTAAAGAACTAAAAAATTCTAAATTTATATGAATGCAGGAAATATTCCTAAAAGCCAAAGTAGTTCTTAGCTGGAAGAACAATACTAGAAGTGTTAAAATCCTGATCTTAAATTCTATTACAGAGACATGGCTTACAAAGAGAAGAAACAGCAGGTGTGGAACAGGCTCAGAAATACACAGATCAATGGAGTAGAATAGAGGACTCAGATATAATCTATAGCTACACTGTTAGAACCATCCACATTCCATAACCAGGTGCTCCCTCATCCCCCACCCAGCCTTCAAACGCTCAGCACAAGAATCCCTGTCATCATAACGGGACACATTTCCACTGTGCCATGGTCCCAAATGCTCATGCCCCATACCCCCTATAAAGCCCAAGCCATCACCCCCACCGTCCCTTCCTCCCTTCCCTCTCCCTGTCTACCCCCTCCCTCTCTTCCTCGATACCTACTTCCCTCTCTCTCATCCTCAGGCAGAGGGAGCCTTTTGCAGTCCCCTCCAAATAAATCCTTTGTATGTGGTCTGTTGCATGACATGATTATTATGGCATTCCCTGACCCTCTGATTACTGAAAAAACCCTTACATACAGTTATTTTATTTTCAATCACAATGCCTAAGACATATATTGGGGGCAAAAGACAAACCTATTCAACAAATGTTGTTGTGAAAATTTGATACCCCCATGTAGAAGAAAACTACATCTCCATCTCTCACCTTGTAGAAAAATAATCTCAAAGACCTTAAATGTAACAAGAAACTCTAAAATCTGCTAAAGGAAAACCATTTTGATATATTCATAGACCAGGACTTTTGGAAAAGGGTTTACAGCTCAAGAAATAATTGCAAGAGTTGACAAATGGGAATTTGAAAAGCTCTACCCAGCAAAGAAACAATTAGAGAGTGAAAAGATAATCTAAGGAATGGGAGAAAATCTTTACCAGCTATAATCTAAAAGAGGATTAATGTCTACAATTATAAATTATAAATAATTCAAAGACAAGAAAACCAAGAGCCAGGTGTTGTGGTGCACACCTGGAAGCCCAGGAACTGGGAAGCAGACACAGGAGACTACAAGTTCAGCTCCATAGCCAGGCAGTGGTGGCCCATACCTTTAATTGCAGCACTCAGGAGGCAGAGGCAGCCAGATCTCTGAGTTCGAGACCCACCTGGGCTACAGAGTGAGTTCCAGGAAAGGCAGGGTTTCTACACAGAGAAACCCTGTCTTGGGAAAAGAAAAAAAAAAAAAGTTCAGCTCCATAGAGTGTGTTTCAAAAACAAACAAACAAAGGATCATTCTGGTTGAGAACTGGATGAATTTGTGGGAATCAAGCAAGACAATGGAGGAAGCAATTGGAAATTTATTTAGTAGTTTAGGGAAGGGGCACAGGTTGATTTTCAGAGAAAACAGAGCAAAGAAATTGAATTTTAAATTCATTTAAAACATGGACATTACAATATTTCCTACTGGATTAAATCTGGACTACAAAATGAAGTAAAGATTATACCAAAAATTTAGGACTGTACAAGTAGCAAAATAGATTTGCTGTTTGCAGACAGGGAATCACACATAAAGCAAACTGATTGAGAGGGGACAGATAAGCCTGTAGATTAGACTTGTCTGGGCTGGAGAAATTTATTTGGGAGATGGTCTTAAATGGCATTTAAAAACTTGGAAGTGAATAAAATCATCAAAAGGATTATTAACTGTAGATGAGAAAGAGAACAGGACTGATCCTGGCACCTCCAGTGCTCAGTGATCTCATTAGAGAACACACCTTGAACACAGACTGTGCAGCTCTGGGCATGTGTCTAGAAGGCCCATAGACCAGGCAGTCCCAGACTTTCTTGTGCACAGGAATCCTCTGGATATCTCAGCAAGATTCAGAAAAAGTCAGGCTTGATGACACAGGCTTTTCATCCCAGCACTCTGGGCAGAAACAGATGTTTCCTCTCATAGGATCTCTCTGATTTCAAGGCCAGCATGATCTACATGTACAACTAGTTCCAGGCCAGTCAAGGCTACATAGTGAGTCTATTTCAACAAACAAACAAAATGAAACAAAACCCCACAAACAGAAACAAAACAAAAGACTTGGGAAATCTGTGAAGACACAAGAATCTCTGTATTTATAAAAAGTGGTGCAGAGGCAGCTGTTGTTCAGATCATGGAGCTGCAGGGAATGTAGACAAGGAGCTCCTAGGTCTCCTAGCTCCATCAGACTCACTTATGGCATGTTAAATAAATAATTCCTGCTGCCAGGTATGGTGGTTCATATATGTAATTCTAACACTCCAGGCTGGGGAAAGAGGATTGCAGGTATTTCAAAGCCATACAGATTTTTATTGTTAACTCTTTTAATTGTGTGACAAAATATCCAGCAGAAGCAACTTAAAGGAAGAAAAATTTATTATGATTCATGATTTAAGAAGGTTCAATCAATCTCAGCATAAGGTGTGATGGAGTAAATGGCAGCAGGGGCATGTGGCTGGGATTCCTCCAATTTCAGTAGATCAGGAAGTAGAGTGGAGGGGGTCCTCCCATCAGGCTTTCTCCTGTTCTTCATTTTATCCTTGGGCCCCAGGGTTGGTCTTCCATCTTTAATTAATCTCTGAAAACACTCTTACAGATGCGACCAGAACTGAATCTCCTAGGAGATTCTAAATCCACTCAAGTTGACAATGAAGTTTAACCATCACAGCTACATAGTGATTCCCAAGCCAGCCCGGGACACAGTGCGAGATGCTGTTAACAGAGAAACAGAAAAAGGAAGTGTGAGTCCTGTCCTACATACTGAGCAATCTAAATGAGGGATCTGGAAAGAGTCCTGAGTGTTTTGGAACAGGATTTATGGCCACTGATGTTAGTGGTGAGAACAGCATCCATAATGGAAAAGGGTGTTATGTGGGTATTCCACTTTGGGGAGGGGTTGAGAAAGAGAAGGGAGAATATACATTATCAGTCCTGAGTTTCATGTCAACAGATATGTATTGTTTTCTCTTCCATTAGGTGTAGCCTCAGATAGAAAATACAGTAAGAAAATAGATAGAAAATAAATAATTACAGAGTCTCTGACTGGCTGCTATCTGAAAATTCCCTAGGCTGATTTCTTACTTTTAGGTATAAATAATGGAATCCAAATTCTTATCATTTAAAAACAAAGGAATTTAATAAAGATATTGGAGGGTTGGCGATTATTTTGTTTTGGAAAAAGCCATGAACCAAATCTGAGGCTTCATAGCTGGGAACAGAACTGACAAGCCCATCAACATCACGTCCCACAAGGATCAACTGAGCACAGGAATCACTGACACCCTGGAGCTGGTCTCTGTGGGACAGATTTCCTGCCACTCATGGAACTGGATGTGCCAATGTCACCCCAGCCAAATTCACTTATGCAGTTCCAGCTTTTCCTTATCACCATGTGCTGAGTCAAGGTGCAGCATGTGGTCACTCAGCTGGTGGAGCCGAGGACTACCATGTGGTGCCCAGCTGCAGGAATGTTAGGAAAGTGACAGAGGGACTTGCTCTGTCTCCTTTCTGTACACTTACGAGGTGTTCCCTTAATGTGTAAGGAGAGTTCAAGAGCCAGGACAAGATGGTAAAAGGTAGAAATACAATGATGAAAGTAGATTCCAGGAAAAGTTACCTGAGTAACTACATTGGAGGAAATAAAAAGACTGACAGAGATCCAGGGTAATGATGCTCTAGAGTACCCACATAGCCCGGACTTTAAAAAGTGATAGCACAGCTGGGCATGGTGGCATATAACTTTAATCCTAGCATTGGGGAGGCAGAGACAGGTGGAGCTCTGAGTTTGTGGCCAGTCTGGTCTGCATAGTGGGTTCCAGGACAGCCAGGGCTATACTTTGTCTTTAAAACAAAACAAAACAAAAAAGAAAGAAAAAAAAGACAGTCAGACAGAAAGAAAGAAAGAAGAAACACGGCTAGTTCACTGAGTCCCAGGTTAGCCTAGCACTCACACAAAGGTGTGTCTCATAGTAACATAACAGCAGATGAGTGTAGATGTAACCAATCGTCTTATTAAATAAGAAACACAGAGTCAATTCAGAGAAGAAAGCCAAGAGGTCAGAGCTAAGAGCCTCACCCTTCCTGCTTCAGGGATCCTCTTTAGTCAAGAGAGCTCTCCGAAAGGAGCCTACTTCCTGTGTGTATGTCTTTATATAGTCTAGCTGTTCTGCCTTCTCATTGGTTGTAAACCCAAACATGTGACTGCCTCATCACTGCCTGTATGTACCGCCCTCCAGGTCCTTAAAGGTGTGCACCACCGCCGCCACGCACTTGCTATGGCTCTAATAGCTCTGACCCCCAGGCAACTTTATTAACATACAATTAAAATCACATTTCAGTACAAGTAAAATACCACCATAGATGAGCACATTTCCATCTAGGGCTTCAACTCATGGAAAACCCTCAGACACCAATCCCTTCCCTACCTGCACTTTTCTTCCTCATCATCACAAGGGCAGTCACAGCTCCAGTGACCACAACTCCAAGAAGAACCACACCAACAGTCATTCCAATTGTGGGCCAAGAAGGTGGTGGCTCTGGAAAGAGAGAGTAGAGTTGAGGGGCCCTAACCCCCAGCTCAGCACTGATCCCACTCAGGGTCTCCAGAAGGTCACCTGTTTTCCTTGACAACAGGCCCTGTGCTCACATCCCTCCTTACCCCATCTCAGGGTGAGGGGCTCAGGCAGCCCCTGATGCTGCACATGACATGTGTATCTCTGCTCCTCTCCAGAAGGTACCACCACAGCTGCCCACTTCTGGAAGGTTCCATTGCCTCCAGGCCTGGTCTCCACAAGTTCCATGTCCTGGGTCTGGTCTTCCCCATCCCTCTTCCAGGTCAGGGTTATTTCAGATGGATAGAATCTGATGGCCCAGCATCTCAAGGTGACATCACCTTCAGGTCTAGGGTGATGGGTTACATGTGCCTTTGGAGGATCTGAGAAGAAGAGTTGGAAAATTCAAGCATTTTATAATTTTTCTGGGGACTTAAACTGTATTCATGTGCACATCATGCAATGCACAGGAGAATCAAGGTGTGTGTGTATGTAGGGGAGGTGGGGCTGTGCAAACCACACAAGCTGTCTGCACTCAGGCACTAGTATAATCTATTCCTTGGAAAAGGAAGACTACCACGTTTCCCACCACGAAAACAGGATTTCTGCTCCTGACTTTGTCAGACCTTCAAAGACATTGGGTATGGGTAGAGAACTCAGCCTCTGGGAAGCCATGGTTCACAATGGGCTGCAAACTGAATGGGGCTGCTGTTGGTTATTTCAAGAGACCCTAAACTGTCCTGAGAGAAAGGTGAGTCCTGGGTAAGTCACTCTCTGATGCTGGGTCAGGAAAACCAGGAGCACTCCTTCCCTTAAGGATACAAGAGAGAGCTACAGTAATTCAGCTGGCCCCATTTTCCTCCCTCCTTGGAGGCATGCACCCTACTCTGAGTGCAGATGGAGGAATTGCTTCTCAATCCCTCTTACCTGAGCGCAGCAGAGTTTCCTTCCCTAACTCCAGGTGCCAGAGTAGCAAAGCAACGCACCGACCCTCCAAGAAGATCTTCCAGTTCTCTGCTAAGCGTTTTGCCTCCCACTGTCGCTGGGTGATCTGAGCCGTCTTGTCAGCCACGGTCCAAGAACTCAGATCTTCGTTCAGGCTGATGTAATCACGGCCATCAAAGGCATGTCTATAGTGCCCGCGGAGCAAGAACTGGTCTGGACCCACGTCGCAACCAATGAAACACTGGAAGGTATGAGAGCCTGCCCCCGCCCCCAAAGTCAGCCCTATCCACAGGACCCAACCCACCCACAGAATTTCCACCTAAACTGAATCGGAAACCGGGTCTCAGTCTGATGCTCTCCTGGGTCCAAGGGTCTTGCGGCCCCTCAGCCTTGGACCTAACCTAGGACCTGACACCTGGGGCGACTTGGGCCAGTCCGTGGGGACGTGTAGGGGTCACTCACCGTCATCGCTCTGGTTATAGATCTTGATTGCAAATTTCAGGTTTTCTCGGGCTGTTTTTGTATAATCCTCCATAGCGTCTTTTGCCCACTTCCAATAAGCAGGTCCCATTTGCTTCGCCCATGGCGCGCGCGCCTCCATTTTAATAGTCTCACCACTTTGGAAGCCCAGGATTTGCGTGTCATCCATATAGGCAACGGCGAAGACTCGGCGATGTTGGAGACCCGTTCGAGACCCGGTCGTGGTTATTAAATACCGCAGCGAGTGTGACCCTGGGGCGGTGCGCAGTGAGATCCCGACCCTCCTCCATGGACCCCCGGGGAGGTGCACTGGCCCTGAGAGTCTCAGGGCACAGGGATCGGGATCGGAACAGAGGAAGCGAGTGGAGAAGGGAACCTGAGAGTCTGGGTGAGTGATGAGAAAGGGCTTTTGGGATGCTGCCTAGCCAGGTTCCCTAGCTCCTCCTGGCAGAGGCCTTTTCCTTCCTGACCCACACTCACCAGCGCCACTATGGGTCTTGGTCTGCATCAGAGGCAGGAATATTGAGAGCAGCAAGAGAGTGGGACTCTGCGCTGCAGCCCCCATCCTTGGTGTCTGGAAAACCTGGAGGGATTGAGACTTTGTTCCTCTCTGTGGAATTTAAAGCGTCATGGTTTGTGGGGAGAGACCACAGTGACTGTGAGTGGCTTTCTCCAGAATTCGGACGTGCAGTGGGAGTGAGAACATGTGTCCAGATAGTGAAGGGACAGCTGACATTGGTTGAAGGCCACAGAAAGGAATTCGGGGCGATGAGGGAATTCCCAACCTTTGGCTTCCCCACCTCAAACACCTTAAAGGCAAAACCTCAGACCAGGGACTCATGGAGACCCCTTCCTCCTGTAATTGGAGCTCTCTGAGTCCTGTTCAGGAGATGTGTTGAAATTCTGAATGTTTTGGTTTCAGGATCTCTTATTTATGGTTATACAATATACATTATTAAATACTTCAAATTTTCATGTAGGTTGAGCCCAACGACATTTACCGTGATAAAAGCTGCTCATTCATGGTGGCAGACATCTGTAATTCCAGCACTTAGGAGACTGTTGAGGTAGGAGGTTTGACGTGAGTTTAAGGACAGTTTAAGCTACATGACACTGACATTTTTTAAAAAATGATTTATTTATGGGCATGTGCATGTGAATATGTGCGAATGCATACCATGTGTGTGAGGATGTCATGTAAGTCAGAAGAGGGAGTCAGATTCTCTAAAACTGGAATTGCAGGTGTCTGTGAGCTGGGTGCTAGAAACTGTCTGGGGTCATCTACAAGATCAGTAAGCACTCTTAACCACAGAACCATCTCTTCAGTCCCTTCATACTTTGACTTTAAAAAAGACTTTTAAAAAGAGAGACTGCCCTTACATTCTGCAAGTAAGTAGCAGTGGTGAAGAATGCAGTAACTCCTGGTTAGTTTTTCACAGCCTTGGTTCAGACTAAGGTGTCAACAGATAAACTCAGTGTCAAGCACACTACAGTAAATATGACAAGTAAATTTGAGAGGCATAAAAGTATTTTTAATATCATACACCTCATGAAAATAGATAAGTAATTTAATGGGTTCTATTCAGCTTCAAACGCTATTGGTTTTTGTTGGTCTTGGAGGCACATGACTTATTTCCACCATTCAAGAGGCTGAGGCACCAGGGCTTCCAGGATTTGAGGAATGGCCTGAACTCTATAATTTTTGCGTGTGAGAGAGGGAAATAATGCAAAATGTTGGGGAATAGTACATGATTTTTAGAGGAAGTCAATGCACTTGGAGAACATGTAATTGCCTGTTGTGCCCAGAGAACAGATAAGTTTGTAAATGGTTTGGAAATTATTTTCTTTTGGAGCATTGGATGGGACTAAAGTAGATGATGATGATATGTGGCAAAAGTATGTCCAGGATGCTGACAGGTGGGTCTTGTGTTGCCAGCTTCTAATTGGTGATTGCCTTCCCACTCAGTGTAAGTTTCTGTTAACAGTACAGCTTTTCCATGTGCATAGAAAAATAATGTAAGTAAATAAAGCAATTGAAAATCAAAACAAACAACAAAAACAGTATAAGCTAAGCATGGTGGTTCACACCTTTGATCCCAGTACTCTGTAGACAGGGACAGGCAGATCACCATGAGTTTGAGTACACAGTGAGCTCCAGGACAGCCATGACTACATAGACTCTGTCTCAAAAAGCTGGACAAACAAATAAATTGGCATGCCAGAGTTCTATATTTTGAATGACAGTCCCTGAACTGTCACTTCCCCTATCTGAAATTTCCCTACGAGTGTCACACAGAAGTTGGCAGCTGAGAAAAGGAAAATCAGACCAATAACCAAATGGCAATAAATCTTCAAACAGAGAAAGGATAAATTAGAATAAGACTAAGTAATCAGAAAAGAATAAATTAAAGCACATTCCCCCCAAAACCCATTAAAGCAATTATTCCTAAAATAATTTAGTCACAAATGGTTTAACCTCATTTGTCTGATGAATATATATCTTGTGTTTTAAGAAATGCAGACCAAAGCTTAGTATGGTGACAGAGACCTGAAATCCCAGCACTTGAAAAGTGAGGCCAGCCTGGCTGGTGTGTGTGTGTGTGTGTGTGTGTGTGTGTGTGTGTGTGTGTGTGTGTGTATGTTGGAGACTGCAAGGAGGGGAATCATTAAATAACCCAAAGAGAAAAGCACAAGAAAAATGTTTTAAAGTTTCATCTTTCTGGGCAGTGCTGGTGGTACATGCCATTAATCCCAGCTCTCAGGAGGCAGAGGCTGGTGGACCTCTGAGTTTGAGGCTAGCCTGGTTTACAGATCAATTTTAGGACAGCCATATCTCAAAAAACCAAATAATAATAATAATAATAATAATAATAATAATAATAATAATAAAGCCATAGCTTTATCTTTAAAAGGATTTTTACAAAGAACACAATGAGAAGGAAGTAGATGGATCCTGATCCATGACCTTGGGAAATGACTGTCTACTTTATGGTGCTGTCTGTCTCTAGGACTTGAGAACCAGCCTGGCAATCTAAAGTCACTTGTAGGGCTGGCCATCCAATTGTCTTGATCTCATTTGCTTTGATTCATATGAATCCAGGAGGATACTTTTCTTTCATCTGATGTCAGTTGGGTGGTTTAGTGGTACCATATAAAGTTCTTTTTGATGTAGGAACCTCAGGGGAAAGCCAAATGTTCTTAGTCCCTTAACTATGAAGAACACATATATCCTATTTTATAGAAGATATATGTAAGCCAAAGTATTAAAGGCCACAGGAAGTCCATTTGGCCAGACTTTTACAGCTATTTATCCTTTTTACACTGTGGGACAAAAATAGTACTAGTCAGAGATAAATACAGGCTTATGAATTGGGTACAAAAAGAATGGGAGCATTTGAGGCTGTGTGTTTAATATCTGCCAAGCCTCTGATTTGCTATGCATACAGTTTTAGAGTCTTTTTATTGTTGTTGTTTCAAGACAAAGTTTCTCTGTGTAGCCCTGCCTGTCCTGGAACTCATTCTGTAGACCAGGCTACTCTGGAACTCAGAGGTCCACCTGCTTCTACCTCCCGAGAGCTAGGATTAAAGGCATGTTCCATGACCACCCAGCAGTTTTAGCTTCTTTACTGTAGCAATCTTAGTGGGAAAGTGAATAACCCGTAATAGAGCAGTCATGGTAACATCTGCTGGTACATGGAGTACCAACTGAAGTTAAGATTATGTAGTTACCAGATTGTGCCAACTTCTTGGCAAGCTCCATATTCATTATTTTGAGTAATTTTAATAGTGTCCATGTTTCCATTTGCCAAAATAGAAGTTCTAGAAAAACAATGTTCTCAATAGCATAAAGAGAAAGAAATAGAGTGACCATCAGTACACGTGTGTGTCTCATTCTGTTTCTAAGACCCTCAGATAGAAAGAAATTATTCTTAAATCCTGCTACTCTATGGCATTCCTTTTACAATTCTGTAGTAGCCTTGAAAGCTGGTCTTTTGTGCTTCATATTCCGGCACTGGAACCAGGTACCAGTATAAAGATAATCAGAAGACTATCCATGGGAGAGGAGGTAGTCCTCATGCAGGTTATCCCCACGTTGCCACCTTTTGGGAGTGTTCAAGAGAGACAACTCCCTAATCAGCAGCCTCAGACAACCCTCAGTCAGGATTCTGCAGATCTTCTGGACACGGAGAGTCAGAAAAGACAGGTGAGTAGTCTAATTCCCCAACCTTCCTTTGTCTTTTCCTTTGTCTCTGTTTTCCCTCAAAATGAGTCAAACGTAATCTAGAGAATATCAATTGTTCATTGACATTATTAACACACAATTAAGAAGAGAGGAATTAAATTTAGTACAGATGAATGACTTTCTTAAGTTCATACAAAAAGTCAGCCCTGGTTACCAGACTGGGGGACCCTAGATGTAGACATCTGGGATGTAATAGGAATATATATTAAGAATTGATATACGCACCTGGAGAGATGGCTCAGAGGTTAAGAGCACTGGCTGTTCTTCTAGAGGTCCTGAGTTAAATTCCCAGCAACCACATGGTGGCTCACAACCATCTGTAATGAGATCTGGTGCCCTCTTCTGGCCTGCAGTCATACATGCTGTATACATAATAAATAAATCTTTTTAAAAGAAGAATTGATATACAAAAAATGAAGGGATGGACATGCCTCTTACAGCATTTGCCATTTGGAATGTACTTAGAAAAGCACTGGCAAATGGTTAAGAGCTTATGCTGTTGTACCTGTTTCGCAAAACCCCCAGAGACCACCAAGGAGCCGGCTTCCGATGTAAACACATAAGGGTCCTTTTATTCAGGTTCATCAACCTGGGCTGCTGCATGGCAGATGGAAGGAAATGTGGCAGTGGCCACGAGTCCAGGCATATAGAGATTTTATAGGGAAAAACCACAAGCTGAGAATTGGCAACTTGGGATTGGGCAGAAGGGATACGGGGCAAGGTGATTTTTTGAAACCATTGGGTTAGACTTTGGGCACAAAACCACATTTGAAACCATTGGGTTAGACTTTTGGTAGGGAACCACAACCCACTGAACAGGATTATCTGGACTGCTCAGCAGGATTATCTAGATACCTTCAAGGGCCATAAACTGCAGACAGGATGTCTATAGGAGCATGCTGCCCTGTATCCATTTGAGTTGTCATGGCACATTGTTGGAGACCGACTCCGGACAGCTGTGTCTTGAATTTTGTGTGACCTTCCTTACTTTATCAAACCTTGCAAAAACAGGTTCCTGGCCTAACCGTGGGCTGTACAACTTCCTGGAGTAGGTGCTAATCAGCCAGCTGCAGGGGCCTGGGACCAAAGCGACCTCACCCTTCCTTAGGAATTTTCCATTCTTCTCTCCTTTTGCTTCCTCTGCTCCCCCTCCCTGCCTGAAGCCCTGCTTATAAACCTCAATACCCAGTCAATAAACGAGACCTTGACGCGACTCAGACTGACTCTGTCTTCCCTTATGCACCTGGTCTCCTTTCTCTCTCACCCCCATTGATCTTTCAGGAGGTGCCTCCTCGGGTCTCCCCAATAACCTGGCCCGCGGG